TCTTCCTACAGGGACCTTCACTATGTCCCTAAGAGAAAACCCAAATTCCAACACTAAGGACCAGCAAGAATCCTCCAATGTCATAGTTTTTCATCCCATTCCCTTCTGGCTGCAGATTTCATTCCCCCAGTACCTCCATGCCTAACTTCTTGCTAAGGGAACAAATAACATACTGGGAGAATTTGTGATTTTCCTGGTGCCCAGCTGAGCCACCCCAGCTGTGGAGCTCAAACTTAAAAATCTCTGAGTTTGTGGGAATGGCCACCTGCTTCTAGGGGGTGTGGTGTGTGATCTGGTAAAGCTTTAGCAGCACTTGTCAATCATTAACCTGCAGTGCTGCTGGAAAGGTCAAGGAAATTCCCACCAAGGCACCCAAGTGTTTGGGAACCAAAGGATATTTCTGGCTGGATATTTCTGGGCTGCTTTAGCTTAGGGGAGCTGGGGAGCCTGCAGGGCAGGACTGGTCTGGTGGGCTTGGCCAGTCCCACCACTGAGCTGTGTGCTCCAGTGTGGGAAGGAGATGTCTCAGCAGCACACCTGGCTGTTTGGAGCATTCTGAGTGTTTGAGTGGTTTCAAATATTTTACTTTGGAGACTTTTGCACCATGCCCTGTGTGGTGCCTGCTGCAGCCTGCTTGTCTCCCCTGCTCCCTTGGTGCCTCTTGCCCACCACCACCAGCTCCTCCCCATCTCACCATGGACCAGCTGCTGCCAGCAAAGCAGAGCAGGAGCCAGTGCCAGACAGTCACCTCCTCCCTCCCAGCACAGCAGTCCCCAGCGTGCCACCCCACCAGGACCTGAGCTGTGCACCAAGCCAGCCCCCTCCAAGGCTGGACTGTGCCCTTTTGGCATCATCTTGGTGGCATCTCCTTGGTGGCATCTCCCTTGCTGTGCCCATAGCTCAGCCTGCAGCAGTTTGGACTGAACAGCAAATCAAAACACCTGATTATACAGGTAAAATACCTGAAAATACAGCAGAGGATTCCACGTGTCCCCCTTCTGCTGACCCACAGGAACATGTCCAGCTGCCAGGTTTCTCTGACAGTGCTCTCTGCTTCCTCCATGCAAGGGGCATTTTGTTTCAGTTGGAAGCTCCAGTGAATCCAGCCCTGGATCCTTGTTAGGCCCATGCTCCAGAGGGCTTGAGGGCTTTGCTCATGGAGATGAATGAGGAATTCTGAAAATCTCCCTTAAAAACGAAACTGAGACACTTTAGATTTCACTTTCCCAAACAGCATGAGCCGTAAGCACCAGCTGTTTCTAGCAGCTGTTCAGCGTGTTAGATTTTACCATTCCAGCACTAAACTATTAGTCAATTGATTAATGAACTGGAACTTCCCATCCAACAAAAATATTTTGGTTTTAAATTATAATTTGATGCGTGGTTAGCGCAGAAATACATTACACATGCTAAGCACATGTTTGCATCTCATCACCACCCTCAGACACAGGGAAAGGTGTCGGCTTCATCACCTTTTTAAGGCTGCTTGCAAACCCCTCCAGAGAATGCAGTTTTACCTTTAATGCAGATTTTTATTTTGCAGAATGCACAAGGGGTGATGCTGCTCAGTCCTGCCCAGGTGTGGGATGGGGCCAGCAGGCTCCTGCCACCCCACTGCTGTGATAAAAGGATGCTGTGGGGCTGAAAGGAGCTGCAGAATGGCCAGGAAGCATTAAAGTTAAGTGGCAGGAGTGAGGGCTCAACCACCTGAGACAGGAAACATTCCCAAGGTTGCCAGGCCTTTATCTGGTGCCAGCACAAGGTCCAAAGCCCACAAGGCTGGCAGCTGCACCAAGGATCCACAGCTCTGCACAGGGAGACGTGGGGACTGGAGTCAGCCACAGCTCAGGACTGGCCCTGGGTTTCATCACAAAGCTAAAAACTATCTGAAAAGGAGTTTTTCCACTGTTTGGGTTTTTTTCCCTAGAAGCATCTCCATGCCATAAACTCCTCTATCCAGCTAAAACCCCAGGTATTTACTCTGGTGGCACTCTGCAGGTCAGAAGTGGCCACCTCTGGTGCCAAATTCATATCACTGTTATCATGGAGCTGTGTGCACAGCTGAGCTCCAGCCCTGGCACCTGCCAGCAGCTCAAGCCCTCCTCTCCTTGACTCATATAAACATATTATCATATATATGATGTGTATACTCATTAATAATATCAATAATGATAAAAATTGAAATAATCTCGACTGTGTATTAGCAGTTAAACCTGCAAGCCCTGGGACAAGGTTTGGAGCTCCAGGGACACATGCAGAGGGGAGGTGACAGTGCCCATCTCCTGATGGAGAGGCCCCATCCCATGGCAAGACAGGTCACAGTACACAGAAGTGGTGTAGAGAAACAAACAGGGAAAAATTATTCCTCATTTCTCATGATGGGAATGAAACACTGCCCAGAACTGAACATCAGCTTTATTCCACCTCAGTGGCCAGAGAATTCCTTGCAAACCCCCTGTTAAAACATGTGCACAAACCCAGGGCAGGGGAAAATTCAACAGCTGCTTTTTCAGGCTATAATCCGTTATTTTATAAACTTGGCAGGAAGTGAGCTCAAAGGCTGTTTTTTGTGATCTCTGATCATAACAAAGTCTCCAGCAAGCACAGCTTTGCTAAACAGCAAAGGGAAACCAGGCTCAGCATGCCTCAGAGGGGTCTTCTGCTGAGAAGCACCAGCATCACACTGTGGTGATGCAAGTGGGAGAACCCACCAGGCTTTGTGAGACACAGCAAGGCACAGTCCAGACCAGCTCCTCAGAGAGAAAACACACTGGACTTGTACTGAAAAACTGCTGCCACCCTCCCATCCTGCTGCTTATCTGAGGAAGCAGCAGCACACAGAATATTTGTGACATATTAGAGGAGATGGTGTCCCTGCACTGGTACCAGCAATACCTGGCAGGGCAGAGGCAGCACATCATCTCTGAACAAACCCAGCAGCCCACTTCCACCCCCAGCACTCCCAGGGGATGAAAGGAAAATGATCAGAAGGGAAGAAGCGATTCAAATTCAAGTGGCACTAATAAAATATTCCCTTTGGTGGAGCAGAGGCTCAGGGGCTCAGGCAGCTGCAGCACAGAGAGCTGGGATGATGTGAGGAGCTGGGCCAGAACAAGAGCTGAGCAGCAGGAAGGTGAAGAAATGCCCCTGCCAGCACCACCATTGGCTCTCCCTTGCACTGCCCCATGCACCAGGACCCCTCTGACCCAGGGGTCAAAGCACAGTCCCAAGAGACAGAGGATTGCAGTTTGCTTTGTGAACATGTAAAACATAAAATACAAAAACATGTAAAATATAAAATCACATCACAGTGCATGGATGCAAAAAATCAGCCCTTACAGGAATACCACATGTCAGCAGTACTGCCCAAACACCCCCAGCACTCACCCTGGTGTGGATAGGACAAGGACTCTGAACCCAGAGGACAGGTCTCCAGCAATTAACCACCAGGTCATGCCATGGGTTAGCCCAGATCTGCTCCTGTGCATCAGGAGCAGTGAACTGGGAGTTAACATCTCCATGCAGAGGAGTGGAGCAACAATCACCTCTCCTTCTGCCACAAACCCAAAGCACTTCACACAATCCCAAGGCTTCAAATCAGAGTCAGACAGGTCAGCCCCACCACTTAGACTGGGTAAAGTTTCCACTCTCCAAACCATCTGACTGCGTGGTTTGGAATTATCTACTTCCTCCTAAACATAAAGCTGCTGTAAAAGAGGCTTGATGCACACAAATATTTGAAGCATGCACGTGTTTGTGAGGGGGTGTGTGCACACATGCTGCAGCTCAAGATACTGCAGATATAAACACTCTAGTAAAGGCAGAGCTTAAACAGGAATATGCAACCATCTTGGCCAGAAACCAAACCAAACACAGCCCATTCATTTAATCAGAGCAAGCCAAGTCCTGGTGTCCCTGAGCTGGGCACACACAGTTGGTGTTGCCAGGCTGCCCACTCCAGTACAACCCAGGCTATTGTCTGGCACACACGGGAGGCTACTTCCAGGGCACCACTTACAGAGCAACCAATCTTTATTTTAGAGATAGCTTACGTAAAGGAACATGCAAAGAAACACATGAGTAAGAGTCTCATCTGCCTCAGGCTCCTGTAAAAGGCTGTAAATCCTTTTCTTCTCCCCTTTCACAGCACAACACGTTGGACAGTCATTGTTCACCCCGCAAGCACAGCGCGTACATCCCGCCGTCGGTCCTTTGGCTGGAGCTGTGCTTGCAGGTTTCCCGTGGGAAAGGAGGTGCTTCACTGCTGAAGAATGAAACCAGGTTGTTGCATGTGCCACAAGGATGCTGGTGGGGATCAGCCAGCTGCACTGAAGGGCTTCAGGACCTGGCTGGGAGCAGCAAAATCACCTGCAACTCGCCATGGGGCAGGTGGGCTTTGTGCCCAGGGGAGCAGATCTTCATCACAATCCCAGTGCAGGACAGCTTCTCTTCCACAGCATCTTTCTCCTGCTGAGTATCTGATCTTCTCTCTCCCCTGTCTTCACATGCTCTCTGTTGTCCTGACCAGATTCCCCGGGGTGAGACTTGAATTTGGAGTAAGTACAAAAACCAGTTGAACTACAGAAAAAATCTGTATTAAGTCAACTAGGAATCAGGGGTATGATATTTGCAGGGAGTATTTCATAAACCATAGGTGTTCTGGACCCCATGCATGTCTGAACAACTCAAAATGAAATACGGTCTTCACCTTAACAGCAAGGGAGACCTCAGTGTTCAAAAACTGCAAGGAACACAACTTAATATGAACCTGCTTATATTTAACAGGATTATCTTTAAAAAGCACTGTTAGATATTTACTAGTTCGCCATGAACCAACAATTTTAAAACTGGGGTTTTTTTTCTGTGAAGAGTCTTGAAAAACTGACTCAAGGCATTTGTCCTGTTTTTGGAAATGTGCATATATTTCAGAAGAGGTTCCAAACATCTTCCTCACTAAAAAAAGGCAATGGAGAGACACGGAATGATGGCACCAGCACTGCTCATGGCTGGTGGCCCAGCAGCAGCAGGAGGAGCAGGGCAATGCCAGCAGCAGGACTGGGGTGGGTGGCTGCACTCCCAGGGTCGCTGCTGGGGACTGCAGCATCATCTTTGCTTTGCTGATTCAGAAGCTGCTTATTTGCAGAGATGTCATCCATGTCCAGGTCATACGCCAGCTCTGAAAGCAGAAGGAGAGAGGTGTCAGTAACACGTGGTGTGTGTCAATTCATTCTGACACACAGCACATCCAGCCCCCACAAAACTGGGGTTCTGGGGCAGCCCGTGCCACAGCTGAGGGCAGCTGGGTCTGGGTGCAGTCAAAGGCATCACAGGGTTTGTTGGGCCAGAAGAGCTCAGCAAACATCTTGGCAGTCCTGCATCCACCAGTCTCAGTGCCCTACACCAAATCTTATGCTTGGAGAGACCAAAAAATCCCAACAGTGAGGTGCTCCAGAAAGAAAACAAGAGAGGTAAGTAAGGGATGTGCCTTACTGGAGAGCTACTCCCAAAGAAAACCAGCTGAGCTTTGGAGGGGGTGTTTAGCAATGCAAATTGTGTCTGCTCCCCAGGCACAACAAGGATGCGTGCAGGAGTGAGGAAATCCTGGCGAGCACTAACACTTCCCAAACCCAGAGTCAGCAGAAGGCCTTGCTCACCAAAGCCTCCTGGCTCCGGCAGGACCTGAGGAGCTCTGCATTCCTGCAGTCTTACGTAAGAGTGTGCAAAATATGCTCCTTATAGCGCTGAGAACACATCCCATCCCTGGTCCACCTCATCAAAGGAAGGAATGTGAATGGATCGTGCACTCTGGGCATGCTGGTGTTGCAACATGGAGACTTTGAGATGAAGCACATGTGGGCTCCAAGCCAAGAAAACATCCAGTATAAAAGTTTGGATAGTGGCAGAGGAGCATGGCATTAACAGAGGGGAAAGCTTGTGGCAACCATCCCTGGCTGCAAGGGACCTGATGAGCAGCAGCACAACACCTCCCTAGTCTTGCTGGGTCAGGGAAGAATAAAGAAGTCCAAATACACAATGTGGAAAGACAAGACACCAGCAAATCTCAGGGCCAAGAAGAAAGAGTAAAAGGTGTTTCAAGATGCCATTAGCCAGACCTACCTGGGGCATTTGAACCTGTCAGTCAGCTGGAATAAGTGGGTGCACTCATGCTTGTTCCTCAAGGCAGTGGGGCCCTTGCTCCCCTGCTTGTGCTGCTGCCATCTCCTTCTGGGGTCCAGGTTTCTCACCCAAATGGGAATCAGGTAAGCCTGTTTGTCTTATCCTCAGAGCCTGGCCTTTGGAGTTGAAGGAAACTGGTCATTTCCATCAGAAGAGACCTTGGCTCAGGACTTTTACAAGCCTCCTGGATCACTAGCATGTTGGAAAGGTTTGGATCATCCCACCCCACCCCTGAGAAATAATCCAAGAGACTGAATAAGCACTCTATCTAAAAAATGCCACATCAATCCAAAGAACACCACTGCCAAGGCAAACAGGCAGTATTTCTTAATCAAAAAATACCCAAACATTGCAAAACAAAAGCAGAACCATGTTTGCATGACAAGTGAGTCAGCCCAGGCCATCAAAGGAGGTCAGAAATGGCTCAAAGGGAGCAGTTATCCATGTACAGAGAGGCCAGGTGCAAGCAGAACCCGCCTGGTAAACTGAATTCTCTAGTAGATCCTCACAAATACTGCAATTCCTCTTTTCCACAGCTTTCCTGCTTTTCTTCTAAATAGTACAGATATGCTGCTGTCCTCTGGCACTGCACACCCACGGGAAGAGCAGGGGAAGAAAGGTGCCACCTTGAAAGGGATGTGCTGGGACTTTGCAAGCACAGAAAGAACAAGTCCCTCTGGCAGGAGGTATGCTCAGGCTTCAGGGCAGATTGGGAACAGCCTGCCTGCATCACCTTATTTTCCCAAGCTCATTTCTGGAAAATAAGTGAAGGGTTTTGGAGTTAATAAAATCACAGCAGATTATTTCACAGTTGGTTGTTTGACACAAGACTCCTCACCTGGCACAATGTTGGATCACAACCTGCCTTAGTGTGTTTTGGAAGGTATTTCCACACATTACAAAGGCTCCTGAAGCCTAAAAGATGCTCCACGGGGTCACAGTACTGTCAGGCACTCACACGCTCCCAGACCAGTGACCATGAGAACTTTTGGGGCAGAATATTCTCTTACTGGACATCCTAGCAAACCTAAAAAAACTCCCAAGGAACTGAGTAACTACTCTTGCCTTCCCTTTAGGAAAGACGTTTGAAACAAAAGAGTGTTTCAGCAAGGTCCTTAACAGCACAAAAGGTTTTGACGGCCCCATTTACAGTCTTGTTCTGGGGTGTAATTTATGAGATTCGAGTTCCTGCACGGGTCTCAGTGCAGCAGCTGAATCCCCTTGGAAATGTTCAGCCAGTACCAAAATGAGTGTTCCAAACATATTCTTTGCGTGGGAAATTTTCCAATCCTGGAATTTCACCTCAACTTGAGTACGGGTAATTTTTTTAATCACGGCATTTCACCCAGATGGGGATGGTGATTCTCTCGCCATTTCCTTCTGGCCAAATTAAAGAGAAAGGAACAGAAACCCTCTTGTCATCAGAGATTAGAATGCTATTTTCCTCACCTTAACTGCTTCAGAAGTTTAGTGCTTGGGTGTGCCGTTTGTTTTCACTGTTCCTTCCATTGTATCCTATTCCTTATTTGTGCCCAACTGTATTTTTAGGCGTGATGGATTTAGCAAAACATCTTTTATTTTGTGTTAATAATGGATCTGTAGCCCTTGCAAATCCCTTTCACTTAACTTCTAATGACCTTTGTTACATCAGAGGAAAGGAAAATAAAAGGTATGAGGCTCTAACAGACCTCAGGCAGCCAATCCAGGCAATAGCAGCATTAAAAATATACATCACAGAATCACAGAATTGGTGAGGTTGGAAGGGATCACAGTGAGTCATCTGGTCCAAGCTCCCTCTCAAGCCCAATGCACATTGTGCCCCAGAGCACAATGCACAGGATTGAGTCTATCTCCAGTGAAGGAGACTCCACATCCTTTCTGGGCAGCCTGCTCCAGTGCTCACTCACTGCACATTAGTAAAGTTCTTTCTCATATTCAGATGGAGCTTCCTGTGCACCAGTTTCTGCCCACTGCCTCTGATCTTACTGCTTATATCATTGATAATAAACATATTTCAAATCCAGGAACCCAAATTTGCAAATGTTCCTAACCAGGTAGTTCCTGAGAGGGCTCCATTATGATTTCCACCTTTTGTTAGGATCCCTGGTTAGACCTGGTCACCCTCACACATCCCTGCACCTCCTGCCCCCACAGCCTCCAGGAGTGAAAGAGCCTCAGCATCAGGGATAGAAATGCAGGATGGCTGGTGGGGTAACTGAAACTAACATTCCACACACTCCATTTTGGCCACATCCACCCAAAACTTTGCCTTTATGCTGCAAAGTAACCTGCAAGAAGGTACTCCTCTGCCTCCCCTCTACCCAGCCACCTTCTGCATTACACATCTCCACCACTCCAGCTCTGATCACCCAATTCACCGGCATCAGCTTCTCGGTACAAAGTGGTCCTTTGGCCTGCAAAGACTTTAGGGGGAGGGCAGGAAACTAGAAAAATCTGTTTCTGTTTATAATCAGAGTCCAGGGGGTATTACCAACAATCTGCACTAATTACAAATTCAATCTTCACTCATTTTGGTCCCTCTTGTCCTCTGGGCTGCAGATTAGATAATCCCTTTAAAATAATAGTCAATCATTAGCTCTGCTTTTTTCTGCCCCTCCTCACGCAAGCCGAGCGTGCCGGGCCGTTTCCCGGAATCCTCACACAGCTGGTGAAAGGTCTCCAGCCGCACACAAGCCGGTCCCTCCGGAAGCATCTTTTGTAACCAAAGCCCCTCTAACACAAAGCTGCTGTGCTGTGCTCCCAGGACAGCCACGGCTTCAATGGCCTCGCAGCGTGGAGGACAAAACCCGGCGCCAGCCCTACAGCACGCGCTTTCCGCATCCGCGAAATAAAGCGGAGGCATTTTCCCATGGATTAGGGAAAATGCCTCCTGACTCTGCCATACTGACTCTGCACAAGCTTATTGGGCAGGAATCATTAGAAAGCTCTTCTTGCTGAACCACACCAGCTTTGGAGGTGGCTGCAAAACTGGGCTGAACTGGGAGTAAGTTGGGTTTGAGTTGGGATAAAATGTCCCACGGCAGCTGGCACAGCAGGAGCCAGCAGGAAGAGTACTGGCACAAAGGCTTTGCTCTGCCAAATCCAACGCTGTCTACCAAAACACCCCTTTTCACCCCCAAAATGGACAGAGAACCGCTAGCAAATGTCTGGCAAATGACCTCCGAGAGCCCCGCTGCCGCAGGCTGGCTCGGCTGCTGCCCAGAGCCCAGAGCCAGGGAATGTCATCTCCCAGCCAGGCATCTGGGCTGCCTGCCCGCCAAGCCTGCCCCAGCAGATGGCTCCAGCCATGGGCCCGATATAGTAACAGAGCCATAATGGATGGCCAGGCATGAAAACTGCCTCCCCCTGTCACCTGCCAGCCCTGCCCGTGCCTCGTGCAGCCGTGATGGGCGTGAGGGGATCCCGACACGGGCGAAACCACTGAGCCTAATGCAGCATGGTCAGCCAGCAGGGCTGCTGGTGATGGCCCTGGTGTGCACATGATGGAAACACTGCAGTGTGAAGGGAATGGATCATGTTTCCAGTGAATGCAAAACACATCAAGTAGAAATGTCACAGACAGGTAGGGCAGCTTGGCAAGCTGTGGCATCTGCCAGCATCTTTCCTACAGGACTGTTTTTTCCCAGGAAAGCGTATGCTACCATTGCCACTGAAAATTACAATCTCCAGAGTATGTTGCTTTGTGTGATTTTTTTAAGCATTGAGCATCTCCAGTGTGGGGAAGAAGATGCCAATAGATGCAGCAGACTGGCTGTCTCCAAAACAGGACAGGATTTCTTAAAGGGAGAGATGTTTGAGTCAAGGCCAAACTGTTGACTCATTAAAAGGTGAAGCATAAGAGCCTGTGATTCCACACATCAGTCTGCCTCACCTTGGCTCCCAAATCTCTCCTTCTCTACAGTGCCAACCATTTCACTCTCACAGGTGTTTGCACCTGAAAAGTAGAAGAACATTCCAATTTCATCCCAAACACTTCCT